CTGGCCCCGAGACAGCAGGAGGAAAGCAGGATCCTCACTAGGCAGCCAGATGGCCCAAGGCCCACCCAGAGAGGGATGAGACCCGCCCTGGGTCACTCGGCCAGGCAGGGACAGCAGGGACCAGAATCCAGGCCTCCTGAGCCAGGTGGAAGCCCAAGCAGTTTGGGGGCTGAAGTGACAAACAATAAAATATACAGATAAATAAATCAATAAATAAAAAGAAAGCAGCCCAGTCCCTGATCCCTGGGCTGAGCCCCTCCACCAGGCTCAGGTCCAGGAGGAGGCAGGCCTGGTCTTTGTGCTGGGCTGGCCGGTCCAGAAGACTCCAGAGGGAGGCAGGCAGGGCCCTGGGGTCCTCAGCGTGTGCGGGTCTGGCTCAGTTATTATTCATTATCCACCAGGAGGCTGGGGGACAGAGGAGGGGGTCAGGAGGCCTCAGGAGCCCACTGCCCCTCCTGGCCACAGGGAGTAGGGAGCCACCACGCACCTGGGAAGAACACAGTGGTGAGGGTGTCTGGGGCCCGCAGGTGGTCGATGAGGACGCGCTGGAAGGCCTTGCTGCAGGGCGACTGCTGGTGCCTGTGGAGGGACCCGGGCTGCCTCGACCTCGGTCTCCCCACTCCCAGCCTGCCCTGCTGCCGGGATCAGACCCCGGCCCTCCTCATGCTGCCTCTGTAGCCTCAGTCCTCTCCTCTGGGACACAGGGACGCTGTGCGGGTGGAATGGAGGACACCGCACAAGGTGCTTGGCATAGAATGTGGCCCACGGTGACAACGGTGTACTCACTGAGTGCCTGTACTGTATTCAGGTCTTCCCAGTCACGTTCTTTAGCCCACGGGAGGTGGAACTGTTACCACATCCATTTTGGAAAGGACTTGGGGGCTTGGGCAGGTAGGGTCACTCATCTGAGGTCACAGAGCCAGCGAGCAGGTGAGCAGGATTGGAACCCTGGCCTGACTCACTCCAGGGCCACACTCCACAGTGTTACTGGCCAGACCGGCACTCATACCTTCTCCAGGAGGCCTCATCCTGCCAGAACTCATACAGGGTGAAGGAGGCACCGTCCGGCATCCTCTGGGCGGACACACTGCAGGGCCAAAGAGATGGCCAGGGCAGGGCTGCCACCACCTCTGCCTCCCCTGCCAGGGGTCTCATGGGAGCCCTGGCCCAGGACGGCCAGCCCCAGCACCCCTCTCCTCACCCGCTCCCCACCTCCAACTGGGCACTCACTGCAGACAACGGCTCTGGGCCGCTGTGAAGTCCACATAGCAGCACAGGGCTCGGTGGAAGTCCTGCAGGGCTTCCTCTGCCACCTGGACCTGCCTCTGGGCCACAAGGATGTGCTGGTAGGAGAGACAGCTGGTCAGCCAGGGCTGGGACGGGGCCCGGGGCAGGGGAGGGACTGACTGTGGCCCCTAGGAGGTCCCCTGCAGCTGTCACCCAGGCTGGAGTGCAGTGGTGTGTGGGATCATGGCTCACTGCAGCCTCTACCTCCCAGGCTCAAGCAATCCTCCCACCTTGGCCTCCCAAGGTGCTGGAATTACAGGCATGAGGCACCAACCTGCCCCCCAGCCTTCCTGACTCCATTCTCCTCTGTCTCCAAGGGTGCTGCTTGACCCAGCCACTGTCCCTCTCTCCTGCAGTATGCTACCACTTCCTTCCACCCTCCAGCTTCACGGCCACAGACCTGGCTTTCAGAAATACTGATGGGAACCAAAGCCCAGAGAAGGGCAGCAGTTCCTGCAGGGTCTCAGAACCTGGCACCTGCCTGCCGGGCCTGGGAAAGGGGCATGTGAGCACTGCAGAGGGTGGGCAGGCAGATGGCTCCATGAACCCCCGCTTCATGAGCGCCCCCAGACCCTGCCATTCAGCTGCCGGCCCCTGTCCTGGGCTCACCGAGTCAGGCCCCTTGGCCAGGTCCTCTTCATGCAGCGGTTCCAGCCGGGGGGCCTGTGAGGACACAGAGTGTGGGCTGGGCCTCCAGAGTGGCCCTGGCTCAGGCAGATGCCAGGAGGATCCTCCCTCGTGGCCCCGCAGCTCTCACCTTGCATTCTAGCTGGTCAATGAGCTCCTGGAGGCGGTTCACCTGAAGACGCCACTGCATCTCGGCCTCTGAACTGAGCCCTGTGGGTGGGACCCATGCAGGGTCAGGCAGGGGCCTCTCAGGCCCAGGACATTCTTGGGATGAAGTGAGGGGCAGCAGAGGAGCAGACCCTGGTGGAATCAGGGATGTGGTGCCTGCCTCGCCCAGGCCTCCCACCCCATCCCAGGTGCACCTGTGTCAGAAGAGCCAGGGGACCAGGTGGATGACTGGCTGACGCTCTTCAGGGCCCGGCGCCCCACCCGCCGGCTGCTGTGGGGCCAGCTCTGTGCCTCCACACACTCTGCATCTGACCTAGAGGAAGTAAGGCTCACAGGGCTAAGGACTGGGGCCCCAGGACAGGAGAGGCCTGGGTCGGGTAGACAGGCCTCTTGAGACTCCGAGGCCCAGCCCCAAAACCAGTCTCATCTCACCCCATTATGGCTTCCCTGCCAGGATGCTAGGATCGTGGGGATTTGGAATGGGGGTCACAGTGGGTGATTGTGCACTGGCCCCATGGGTTGGCAGGGCCCTTACATACCGCCAGCCACGGGCCTGGGCCTCCAGGGTATCTGACGCCCCCTCCAGCGAGCTCTGCAGGGCTTGCAGCTGGCTCACCGTCTCCCGAAGCAGGAATCGCGTCACAAACTGGTCCACCTTGGAGGCCTGCTCATACTCCTGCGGGCCGAGGGGGCACAGTCAGCATCTCCCAGCCGGGGCATTGATTTCTGAGTGGGTCCTCTGCCTCTTGCCCATCAGACCAGGGGCATGCAAACCCGGCACAGGCAGGAGGAGGGCACTGAGACCCAATGGGTAGGGAGGCCTGGATACCTCCTTGTCCGGGCCTGGCCTCCACCAGGGGGGTGTGAGGCCAACTCATAGGAGGCATCTGTTGCCGGCGTGCCTGGCTTTTCTGGACCTCATGGCCCCTTCTCTGCCAGGGCTACCACCTTAAGCACTGTCATAGTCAGTGAGGTCCCACAGCTAGGCTGGGTCGGGGCTGTCACAGGGTATGCAAGGGCCAATTTTGACACGAGGCAAAATGATGGCCTGATGCGGCCCCAGACTCATAATCTATGTATTCACTCATTCAGTCATTGACTCATGCACACAACAAACCGCGCTCTTTACTAGGAGCTGCCGATAAAAGACAATCAGGTCACCATCTTCACACTCACACACACACACACACACACACACGCACACCCCAGCACTGACCCCAACCAACACCGTCAGCCTCCTCCCAGAGTGGCACAGAGGCAGGGAGGCTGCCCACAGGCTAGGCCCTGCATGGCCCATCATGGGATTCCATGGCTCCTCCACTACCTGCACTTGCTGGAGCTTTCAATTCCTCATCTATCAAACAGGAAGGATGAAACTCAGCACATGGAGCTGCAGGAAGCTCCCAGGAGTGAATTCCTGTACAGAACTCAGCCCAGGGTCTGGTCCGCAAGCTCTCGATGCCAGACCTGCCAGCCGTCTATGGTCAAGTGTAATACACTAAGGAGCCTGCCCATTTGTACACCCAGGAGTCACAAACACCTGAGAACTGCCTAACCCCACCACACACACACACACACACGAGGCCAGGGTGGGAGTCCTGGGGAGCTGTGGTCCAGGTGCTTGCCCTCTCCAAGGGGACTCCAGAGGCCTATCCATCAGTGACTTCATCTGCCACAACCTGCCTCAGCTCAGCTGTCAGATAGGACCTTCTGGGCCAGGCTTATGAGCTGGGAGACAGGGACAGAGAAGAGGCTGGGTCTTTTCATTCTCAGGCCAAGGTTTCTATCTCCATGAAATCTTTCAAAAAAAAAAAAGATCCCTTTCAAGTATTTGAGATGATTAGTTTCTGTTGCTTGCAGCCAGAGAACTGACAGAAGCACCTACTCAGAGCCAGGCACTATTCTAAGAATTTCACTTAGTCTTTTTTGTGTTTTGAGAAGGAGTCCCACTCTTGTTGCCCAGGCTGGAGTGCAATGGCGCAATCTCGGCACACCACAACCACCTCCTCCTCCTGGGTGCAAGCGATTCTCCTGCCTCAACCTCCCAAGTAGCTGGGACTACAGGCATGCACCACCACACCCAGCTAATTTTGTATTTTCAGTAGAGATGGGGTTTCTCCATGTTGGTCAGGCTGGTCTCAAACTCCTGACCTCAGGTGATCCGTCTGCCTCGGCCTCCCAAAGTGCTGAGATTATAGGCGTGAGCCACCATGCCCGGCCTAGTCTTTTGTTTTTTTGAGACAGAGTCTCACTCTGTCACCCAGGCTGGAGTACAGTGGCATGATCTTGGCTCACTACAACCTCTGCCTCCCAGGTTCAAGCAATTCTCCTGCCTCAGCCTCTCGAGTAGCTGAGATTAAAGGCCTGTGCCACCACACCTGGCTAATGTTTGTATTTTCAATAGAAATGGGATTTCACTATGTTGTCCAGCCTGGTCTTGAACTCCTGACCTCAGATGATCCACCTGCTTTGGCCTCCCAATGTGCTGGGACTACAGGCATGAGCCACCATGCTGGGCCTAATTTAACCTTTGTAACAATTTACAGGAACCATAATTGACCTCATTTTGCAGATGAGAAAACTAAGGCCCAGAGAGGTTGATTACCTGGGCTAAGGTCACACAGCAAGTTAGTGGCAGGGCCAAAATTCATACCTAAACCACAGAAATCCCCCTCTTCTCCCCACTCAGCACTTTACATGCATCGCCTCATTTACGATCATTAGCCATTTTAAAGCTGAGAAACCAAGGCTAGAAGTAACAGAGTGAATAGAGCCCAGATCCACCTGTGGGCCCTGCAAAGCTGTGCGCAGAGCCTGCAATTGGTGAGGTCGGTCCATGAGGTCACAATGTGGCCAAGACTCAGCGGGCAGAGCAGACGGAGTGTGGGCCATGGTCCCCAGTGGTGACTAGCCCCGCCATGAGAAACAACGGATCCCACAAAAGGACCAAAGCACCCAAGCAGGCCCGCAGGGAGAGGCCAAGGGACACGGACAAGGCCTGGTGGAGACAGTTCCTCAGCCACCTCTCTCGGAAGAAGCTGTGAGTGTGGGGGATGGGGAGCAGACCTGGGGGGGGCCCATGGGAGTCAGCGGAAGCTGGACAGGTGGGCGGGAAGGGATGCTGAGAGTCTAGGCCTTTTGCGAAGTCCTAGGGGGTGAGGGAGGAACTGGAAAATCTCTCCCAAGGATGAGGATCCCAGGAGCCCACGTAGGTGTAGATAGGGGTCCTTTCAAGGTGGCTCACGCCTGTAATCCCGACACTTTGAGAGGGCAAGGTGGGTGGATCATTGAGCCCAGGAGTTTGAGACTAGCCTAGGTGACATAGGGAGTCCCCATTTCTACAAAAATTAAAAAATTAGCTGGGTGTGGTAGCAAATGCCCACAGTCCCAGCTACTCAGAAGATTGAGGTAGACTGCTCGAGCCCAGGAGGTCAGGGATGCAGTGAGCCGTGACACAACCACTGCACTCCAGTCTGGAGAACACAGCAAGACCCTGTTTGACTCAGTCTTTAAAAAAAAAAGGGAAAAAATAGGAGGGCAGAGATGCCAGAACTAGAAGGTGGATGAGACTTGAGAGCCCGGGGTTGGGGGGTGAGAGTGTGAGTGGGATTCTCTCCCAACCCTGGACAAACAGGCGGAGGTCCCAACAAAGAGAATCAGTCCTAGCTGGTACTACTGGAGCTAGGAGCAGGGGGAATCCCCTTACGTCCTCTCTCCAGCTCCCAGACTCAAAACTTCCCTGTCTCCTTCTCAAATTAGCAGAGACTCTGGACCAGGCGGGAGTAGGGGGTGCTGAGAGGCCCTGACATAGAGCTTAGAAGGAATCCCATAAACCTGGTCTCAGGAAGTCAGCCTGGGATGGATGATGGTTTCCAAAAGGAGGCGGAGTCCGGGGCGCCTAGCAGGGAAAGGCGGGCTTCCCCGGGGCCTGAACTGGACAGGGGTCCCCTCCAGCCCTGTGCATGGGAGGATAACAGCACCCGGGTGGATGAGAGTCCCAGGAGGAAGGCGGGGCGGCCCCGGGTCGTGGGTTCGGTCCCGGCGCGCTCTCCCTCCTCACACCCCTGCTCCACCCCCAGACCAGGATCGCGCTGCTTCTCCCCTTAGACAAGCGGCAGCCGCTGGCCGAGGCTGGACGACCGGGTGACGAGGCATCAGGCAGAGGGCTAGGCTCCCCGGCGGCGCCCAGGCTGCGCGGAGCCGGAGAAGGCGGCGAGGGCGAGCTGAAGATGCCGGTGCTGCTGCTACTGTTAAGGCGGGAGGCACGGCGGGAAGAGGCCGTGGCCGGTGCGTTGGGCTGGGGCGGGGAAGGGGGCGGGGGCGGGGGCGGGGGCGGGGCCGGGGCCGCGCTGAGCTGGCCGAGGCTGCACCCGTGCCTGCGGCCCCCGGGCAAAGCGCCCGGCAAGGCCGGCCCCGCCCAAGAGCAGCCGCACACACGGCACCGCTGCCGTCGCTCACGACTCTAAGTGCCTGACCCTGACCCTCCAATAAAGAGTACGTGGCAGCCCTGGCGCCTGTGAACCCTGTTGGAGGCGTCCGGGCGCGGAGTCTGGTTGGGCAGAGCGGAGGCTGGGAGCCGCGCCGGGGCGAACGAGGTGAGGCGTACTGAGGGTAGAGCCACCACCACAGTCTGGAGCCAAGGCTGTCTTTTGCTTTCTCCTTCCTTGTGCCAAGAGTCAGAACAGGACCCCACACCTTGCTACAGTGGTGAGAGGCTGTTTCCTTCCCCCAACACTCCCAACCCAGTCACATCCCGCCCACTGTGCAGGCTCGAGGTGGGCTTGGGCAAACCCAGGCGTGGCCACACCAGTGAGGCAGATCTGCTTCCAGCAAAGCCTACCATCTCCCCCAGCATCCAGAAATCCCTCTTAGGCAGAGGGAGGGTCCCAGACCAACAGGCACCATCCTAGGAAGGATAGCCAGGACACCACAGTCAGCTGGGGCAAGGCCTGAGATGTGGATTCTGCTGTGGACGCACCCAGGAGAGGCTGGAAACCGTGGGCCTCTGGCCCCTCATGCCTACACATTGTGTTTGGTAACCCCAAAACACTCGGCCCCCCAGTCTTCCCTAAGGCACCTCTGTCTCCCAACCTACCCTGTCCCCACCTCCTTCCCCACATGACAAAGCCTTCTTCCAAACCACTTACCTGTCTAGGGCAGCCCACTCCCCTGCTCATCAGCTTTCAACAGGTCTCTGTTACCTACAGGGAAAAAGCCCCCAGCCTCGGCCTCACTCCCCAAATCACTCAGAAGAGGCCCTGCCACTTTCTGTGGGCTGGATCCTGCTACTTCTCACTCCTCTGGGTCCCAAATCCAGCTCCACACCTCAGTGCCATCCACAGCCTGCCGAACTTGCAGCCTGCCTTCCTGCCACACACTGGCAACCAACCTCAGGATGCCGTCTTGTGGGGGCAGATGCAGCAGGACTGGAGGTCCCAGCTCACTAGAGCCACCAGCCCAGCTTCTGCTGTCACCGTCACTCTGATGAACATCTCCTCCACCTTGCCTGCACCAGGCTGAAGACCATAGCATCACTCCTGCTAATTGTGAGAACTGACTCCTCCCTACCACCCACATGGTTACAGTCAGGGTAACCATTTTCTTCCATGGAGCCGCACCTCTTACCCATACAGGAACTGGCCCAAGCTGGCCCTGTCAGCCCCTCCCCCTAGGACTATCATTCAGGAGCCGTAAGAGACCATGTTCTCTACTTGAACATGCACAGGGTAAAGCCAATCTTCAGAATAAAAACACAATACAAAGACAGTGCACAACATCCTGAGTTTCTTTCCAACAGCCCTGAGGTCAGAGCCTATTTCTGAAACCTGACTTCACTGTTGCCCTTGGTATCCAAAACATGTAAGATCCTTGTAATAAAGTCCCTATTTTGGTTTACATTCACCTGAGTCTTCTACTTGCAACCAAATTGGTCCTGAAGAGAATGATGCTTTGCAGAAACAAGAAGTGGCCTCTTTCCTGTGTGTGGGGATTATTACCACCTTTTGGAGGAGAAAACCAAGCCCAGAGTACGATCAAGACTTGCTTAGGACTGCATAGTGAGTCAGCCTCAGAACTGAGTCTCACTGGGTACGGTGGCTCATACCTGTAATCCCAGCACTTTGGGAGGCCGAGGCAGGTGGGTCACCTGAGGTCCTAATTCGAGATCAGCCTGGCCAACATGGTGAAACCCCATCTAGGTGGCTCACACCTGTAATCCCAGCTTCTCAGGAGGCTGAGGCAGGAGAATCACTTGAACCCAGGAGGCAGGGGTTGCACTGAGCCGAGTTTGCACCTGGGTGGACTCCATCTCAAAAGAAAAAAAAGAACTGAGTCTCCAACTCAGGTCCATGTGACTCCATCTGCGGAAGCCCCTGATGGTAGGGCCAGAGTCTCTCCTGGCTTTTCAGAGTGGCTGTAGATCTGTGACTAAAAGCTTTTTCTTTGGTGCTGGGAGGGTAGGGGCCACACATCTGGCCAGAGTACATCAGATAATTCTAAGTGGTGTGGAAAAGGAATCAGACTAATTGTGCGGGGCTGCTGAAGCCAGGCCCCTGGATGCCAAAATCACTGCCCTTGGCCCTGCCCGGGAGAGAAGATGGGTCCAGGGAGTTGTCATAGGGTAGGGGGCTGCAGAAGTGCAGCGGCTGCTGGAGTGAGGTCACAATGAGCCCAATCCAAGTTCCTTTTGGCCTTCTGACCTGCCCCACCCATTCCACAACCAGGAACTTCTGTCAAGCCCAGGTGAGAGGTGCCAGGAGGCTGCCTGGTTCCCCAACCGGGATATATGTCCAAATGGCCTTGCCACAAGGACTCTTTACCCTCAAAGCTCTGCTCCTCCTGGAGGCTTCTTAGACTCTAAAAGATCAGTCCTAGCCATCTTGTCAGCCATCTCAGCAAGGGCTGACTGGGAGGAACGGCAAAGCAGAGGCGACTCCCAAGAGTGTGGGGCCCAGTGCCAGGTGTGGAAGACAAAGATGGGAGACATGCAGCTGGAACCCAGCCAGAGCCCAGACTGAGGCCTGAACTAGGGGCGGGGCCTCAGGCGCAGGCAAGTGCCACGAGCTGAAAAGGAGGGAGACCGAAGGCACAGAAGAGATGGGGGCTTTCCGACCAGAGGGCGGAGCCAAGAGCTGTGAGGGGCAGTGATCTGACCCAGAAGAGGAGGAACTTAGGCCCGGAAGGCAGAGCCAGGGGCTGAAGGGGACCACTCTCTAGGACAGAGTCCAGGAGGTCTCCAGCCAACCAAGCCGAGTGGCATGGAAGGGTGGGGCTGAGCCCAAAGGTGTCGTCTGTGTCTGGGAGCCTTCGTGTGCACCGGCTGTCCCCAATGGGCCGTGTCGCGGTGGTGGTGGACCAGGGCTCAGGCTTCACCAAGGCGGGTTTTGCGGGCGAGAACCAGCCGCGCATAGTGCTGAAGAGCTCCAGCCTGGTGCCCAGCTGGGATCGGCCGGTGCTGCCCGGCGCGCCGGGCTGCGAGCTGGCGGGCGGCGTGGCGCGGGCGCACCCCATCAAGCACGGTGTGGTGGTGGACTGGGAGGCGCTGGAAGGGCTGTGGGAGCGCCTGCTGGTGGGCGGCCTGCGGGTGTGCCCGGAGCAGTGGCCCGTGCTGGTGAGCAACTCGCCGTCGGCACCGCCCGCGGGCCGTGAAAGAGTAGCGGAGCTGCTGTTCGAGACCCTGGCAGTGCCCGCGTGCCACATGGCCAGCACTGCGTTGCTAGCGCTCTGCTCCACTGGCGCGTTCAGTGGGCTGGCCGTGGAGGCGGGTGCGGGCGTGTGCCACGCCACGCCCATCTATGCAGGTCACTCGTGGCACCGGGCCACTTTCCGGCTGAACGTGGCGGGCAGCACCCTGTCACGCTATCTACGGGACCTGCTGGTGGCGGCGGACCCTGATCTCTCGCAGCAGGCCCTGCCCCGCAAGGCCATCACACATCTCAAGAAGCGCAGCTGCTATGTGTCCCTGGACTTCGAGGGCGACCTCCGCGACCCCGCCCGCCACCATCCGGCCAGTTTCAGCATGGGTAACGGCTGCTGCGTCCGCCTCAGCAGCGAGCGCTTCCGCTGTCCCGAACCCATCTTCCAGCCGGGCCTGCTGGGCCAAGACGAGCCGGGGCTGCCTGCGCTGGCCTTCCGGGCGCTGCAGAAAATGCCCAAAACACTGCGGACACGGCTGGCAGACACCGTGGTGCTGGCCGGCGGTTCCACGCTGTTTCCTGGCTTCGCCGAACGCCTGGAAAAGGAGCTGGAGGCGCAGTGCCGGCGACACGGCTACGCGGCCCTGCGGCCCCACCTGGTGGCCAAGCATGGGCGTGGCATGGCTGTGTGGACCGGCGGCTCCATGGTGGCCTCGCTGCACTCCTTCCAGCGCCGCTGGATAACCCGGGCCACGTACCAGGAGTGTGGCTCCAGGCTGCTGTACGATGTGTTCAACTGAATCAGGCTGGACTGGGGGTAGGGGGGCACCGCGGTGGAGGACAGCTCTCTATCTAAAGAGTCTCAAGTGTTTGGAGCTGGCAGGGTGCTCTTGAAGGTTGGCGCTGACTGGACGGGTCACCCCCATACCTTTTCCAGACCAGGAGGAGGTGTTTGGGACCCATGGGACCCTCATTTTGAACTGCAGTTTGAATCTTCCCCAACCACTGCCAGTTCAGAGAATGCCAGTCCAGCTGCCCACCTCCAAGCCCTACTTCATGGCAATAAAGGTGATGCCCCCACCTGTCTCCATGACACAGATACGGGAGTTTCTCCAACCTGTCGTCATGTACCGTTTGGACACATATCCCATGCCAGGCCCCAAGGGGCAATCCTTTGAAAAGCTACTAAATCTCATGTGAAAGTCACCAGCAGGAGCCCTGTGCCTGGCTGTGTGCTCAGGTGATTGTTGACTATGAGTGCCTCAGTTTCCCCTTCTGTAAAAAGTGGGGTCAGGCACAATCCCGGGCCTGCTCACTGTTCCTTCCTCACCCCCCTATTTTTTGAGATGGAGTCTCTGTCACCCAGGCTGCAGTACAGTGGTACAATGTCAGTTCACTACAGCCTCCACCTCCCAGGTTCAAGTGATTCTCCTGCCTCAGCCTCTCAAGTAACTGAGATTACAGATGCGCGCCACCGTGCCTGGCTAATTTCTTCGTATTTTTAGTAGAGACGGGATTTTGCCATGTTGGCCAGGCTGTTCTCGAACTCCTGACATTGTGATTCGCCTGCTTCATCCTCCCAAAGTGCTGGGATTACAGGCGTGAGCCATCACACCCAGTCTGCTCCCTCCCCCTTACAAGAGCTATGGAGCAAAGGGAGGTGGCGATATTTCTTGAACAAACAAAGGGAAGGGCGGCTTATTTTCTGAAGTCACCACTCAAGGGGCTCAAGCCCCGGATGTCAGCATTGTTTCTGCTTGTGCAGATACATGTCCACATGTGCACACAAACACATGGGTGCTCACATACCTGCCAGGTGCTGCCCTGTGAACAAGTGAGCACAGCCTCCCACGCCTAGCCCAGCCCTGCATGATACCCATCACAGCTGTGACCAGCCAGTAACAAAAGCAACAGCAGCCCCTAGTATGAAGCACCTACTGTGTGCCAGACATTATTCTGGGTGCTGGAAACAG